AGAGTCCTATCGTGTCTGGGTGGGAAAGTGGCTATATAATTTCTATCGTGTCTGTAGAAGTCTATAATGAGATTTGTCCTGTCACGAATAAATTCCTGATGTGATTCTATGGAAGTTTCTTAATTAAAAATAAATTATCTATCGATTGTCTGTTAGAGTGGTGTCTGTAGAAAAGTACAATTCTCTATTTACGTATTAGTACTTGTTTAGATCTAGACATTAACCTATAATCTCTCGTGGGGTCTGGTAGAAACATATACATTTCTTAACTCGGGCTGTAGAAGTTCTATACAATTCTATCGGGTGTCCTGTAGAAGTCTATATATATTTCTATCGTGTCTGTAGAAGTCTATACAATTTCTATCGGGCGAGAAGCTAGTTAATTCTACGTCGTCTGTGGAAGTTAAGTGAATTAATCGTATCGTGTTCTGTAACTAAGTCTCCTATAAATATCTAATCGTGTCTGTGGAAGTCTATTGTATCATTTCTATCGTGTCTGAGAAGTCAATATTATCAATTTCATCCGTTTCTGTAGAAGCTATACAAATTCTATCGTGTCTGTAGAAGTCTATACAATTTCTAATCGTGTCTGTAAGAAGTCCTAAACATATTTCTATCGTGTCTGTAAGAAGTCTATATAATTCTCTATTCGTGTCTGTAGAAGTCCTAAAACAAATTTCTATCGTGTCTGGTAAAGAAATCCTAAAACAATTTTCTATCGTTCTGGAGATAGTCTAAACCGAGATTTAAGTAATCGATCTGTGAGATCAGTCATTAACATTATCTAATATCGTTGTCTGTTAGAAGTTCTACAACAATTTCTATCGTGTCTTGTAGAAGTCTTAACAACTTTTCTGATCGTGTCTGTAGAAGCTATACAATTTCTATCGTGTCTGTAGAAGTCTATACAATTTCTATCGTGTCTGTAGAAGTCTATACAATTTCTATCGTGTCTGTAGAAGTTTATACAATTTCTATCGTGTCCTGTAAAGTCTCATACAATTCTAAATCGTGTCTAGAAGTCTAATACAATTTCTATCTGTCTGCGTAAGAACGTCATATATACGGATCTATCGTGTCTGTAGAAGTCTATACAATTTCTATCGTGTCTAGAAAGTCTAATGAGCGATAGCACTAAGCGCGAGAGAGAGTCTATACAAATTTCTATCGGTCTGTAAAGTCTATACCATTACTCTCACTATAAGTCTATATAATTCTAGCGATGTACCAGCGAAGAACAGGCGACTCCACCAATCTTCTATCTGAAGTCGTAAAGAATCACCATAATTACTATCGTGTCTGTAGAAATCTATACATCTAATTGCTATCGTGTCTGTAGAAGTAAATATCATAACTTTCTATCGTGTCCTGTAGAAGTCTATACAATTCTATCGTGTCTGTAGAAAGTCTAAACATTTCTATCGTGTCTGTAGAAGTCAGTATACAATCTTCTATCGTGTCTGTTATGAAGTTATACAATTCTCTATCTCGGTTGTAGAAAGTCTATAACCAATTTCTATCGTGTGTCTGTAGAAGTCCTATACAATTTCTATCGTTCCGTAGAAGTCTTACATAATTTCTATCGTGTGTCTCTATGAAAGATCTATACGAAAAGTAAGTCTATTGATCCTGTAGATAGTACTACATACTATATTCTATATCGTGTCTGTTAGAATGTCATATCTGACACAGTTTAACTATCGTGATCTTGTCAGAAGTCTACATAATTTCTCTATCGTTTCCCTGTAAGTCTATACAATTCTATCGGGTGTCTGTAGAAGCTAGCTACATATTTCTAACTCGGTCGTTGATAGAAAGAGTTCTATCTACAATTTCAATCCAGTGTCTGTAGAAGTCTAATTAACACCTTGGCCTATCGTGTTCCTGTAGAAAAACAGAGTCACATAAACAATTATCTATCGTGTCTGTAAGAAGATCTATCTCACCAAATTTCTATCGTGTCTGTAGTAAGTCTATACAATTCTATCGTGTCTGTAGAATTCTATACAATTTCATCGTGTCTGATAGAAGTCTACATAATTTCTATCGTTGTCTTGTAGACAGTCTATACAATTTCTATCGGTCTGTAAGTCTAAACTAATTCTATCAGTGTCTGTAGAAGTCCTATTACAATTTCTATCGTGTCCGTGTAGAAGTCTACAATATTCTATCGAGAGAGAGCCGTAACACAATTGTTAGCGCGGTTAGGAAAGTCTATAACAACTTTCTGTATCTGTGTCTAGAGAAAGTCTACAGCAAATTATCTTATCGAATGATCTGCATAGAAGTTAAATAATACTACATTTCTATCTAGTCTAGAAAGTTCTACCACAAGTTTCTATCGTTGTCTGTAAAGTCTATACAATTTCTATCCGTCGTCTGTAGACAGTCTATACAATTTCTATCGTGTCTGTAGAAGTCTATCACGATAGTTTTCTATCGGTGTCTGTTATGAGTAGTCATATAAGACAATAAGTCTATTTTCACCAATACGTGTCTTGTAGAAGTTTCTATCACAATTTTCATATCGGTCTGTAGAACCTCTACAATAAATTTCTATCGTGTCTGTAGTAAAGTCTATACAATTGAATCTATCGTGTCTGTAATCCAGTGTTCCTAGAAAACAATTTTTCTATCGTGTTCTGTAGAAGTCTAGTACAATTTTTCTATCGTGTCTTGTAGAAAGTCTATACAATTTCTATCGTGTCCTGTAGAGTCTATACAATTATCGTATTCGTATCTAAGTACCGAAAGTACTAATACTAATTTTCTCACTCTCGTGTGTACTTGTAGAAGCCCTCTAATACAGTAGTTCTTTCGAATCGGTCTTAGAAATCGTATAACCACACAATATTCTCTACTCCTAGTGTCCCTGTAAGAAGTCTAAAAAACAATTTCCCTATCGTGTATCTTGGGTAGAACTTCTTAATACAATTCTATCGTGTCTCATGTAGATATCTATGCACAATTCTATCGTGGTCTGTAGAATTCCTATAGTAGCTAAAATTATGCTATCGGCTAATTGTCTGTAGAAGTCTTTAAACAATAATTCACTAAAAATCGTTGTCTGGTAGTACGTGATCCTCGCTTATACAATGTTTCCTACACAATCTCCGTAAGAGAAGCGGTCTATACAATTTGTGAATATCTCGCTGTTCGTTAGGAAGATGATCCAGGAAGTCACACAGTTTATTTCCATCAATTTCTTACTTCTATTCGTGTCTTGAGAAGTCTATACAATTTCTTAATCCGGTGTCGTTGTGCTGTAGTATGAAAGTAGTAAATCTATACATATAAATCTTACAGCTATCTTCCGTGTTTCTGTAGGAGAGTCTCAATACAGATGAAATAACGAAAGTTACTATACGGGATTTTTTGTATCTGCGTGTCTGTGAAAGTCCTATACATTTCTATCGAGAAGTCATAACAATTTCTTATCGTAGTCTGTGAACGTCTATTACAGACGTTTCTAATCGTATCTGGTGTCCTTGTAAGAAAGTCTAATATAGGAAGTTTTCTATCCCAACAATACTCTATCGTGTCTTAGAACGAGTCTATATCGAATTTCGCTGATTCGCGTTTCAACAGATCAAGCTGAGGTAGCATCTAACGTGTCTCGTAGAGAGTCTGACCCATACTAATTACCTAGTTCGGTTCTTTGGTATGAAAGCTTGTTTCACCATAAAACCAAATTTCGTATCTCCTAGCCCGTCCTGTTAAATACAAAACCAGAAAAAATTTATCGTTTATTCGAGGTGTGTGTTAAACTGTGGTAGACGTAACTGAGGAAGGCTATAATTTACGAAATTCTATGATTTGAAAAAAATTAGTATTTCTGACCCCAGGTTGACTGGAGATGGATATGTACTGATTAATTAATTAAATAGCAAAAATTTAATTTTCGTCTAAAAGGGTGCGGGAGTGGTATCTTGTTGAAAGCGGAATTCGTTATCACTTGTGAATAGAATACGACAATGATTGCAAAAAAAGGTTTCTATTTCAAGGAAGTTTCATAGAAAAAAATACGAGGGATTCTATGAAGCACCAGTTTTTTATCCAATGAACTCAATAGATGAATAGGGCGGTATTATTTACGCATAAAAAATACCGATTTTTTTTGTTCTTTTTTGCTTTCGGGATAGGTTTCGTCGAACTCATGCGAATGCGAAACTAACGTATTATAGCCATATGAGGTGGTGAATAAGAAAGTCTACATATTCCATGTTCGTTATTGTGTTTAAAATTATTGGTGTTTGTTACTGCGCTCCTTTTCTTCCTTTTTTGCTTGGATTATTTTTAATTTTTCTGTTTTCGGCCATCTATCTCGGGGAAAAAACAAGATGGTAATTTAAAATGATAAAATGAATAACCAAGATTTTGTATATTGAAATGTTAATCAGGTTCTTTGAGAAGAAAACAGATGATGTAAGACTAAAGTACACAAACACCAGGAAGTGATCAGACATTCCAGGAAACAGTCCTTGTGTTACCGAATAGTTTCTATTTTAAAACTAGTATGGAAACTGGCCAAAGAGATGAAGTGTAACACTTTGAAAATGGTACTACGAGGGATTGTTTTGATGTATTGGCTGGGTATGGGTTATCTCCTATACCGAAGATTACACCAACCAGGTTATAAGTGTATGAATAAATCGTTTCAATGACAAAGTGTCTTTGCGCTGTTTCAAAGCGTAGTAAACGTTTGGAAAGTCTATACAATTACACACACAGACCACGCAGGGCACACACACACATACAACACACACACACACACACACACACACACACCACACACACAACACCACACACACAGGACAACACACCACAACACAAGCCACACACACACCAACAACCATATATGATAGTTTAATCGTGATATATTACTAGTATAATATTGACGTTACTTGATGTATAAGAAGTAGTATCTTAAAATATATAATACAATTTACTACTCTAATGTGGTATGTAATCCTGCTTTAGTAACAAATTAATGACCAAAAATGAGAGAAATATTCTACGTATTCGTTGTCTACGGAGGTAAGTCGATAGCGCTTGGTGATTTTTAATGGTTTAAGTTCAAAGGAATTGAAAATTGATTTGAGAATTGAGATTTGAAAAAAATTGATTGAAGATTGAAAGAAAAATTTGAAAAATGATTGGAAAGAAATGAGAAGATTGGCTAAAAAGTCTATACAAAAATTTCTTCGGGTGTCTGTAGATAGTCTAATAATACAATTTCTATGCGTGTCTGTAGAAGTCCTATATAATTTCCTATCGTGTACATGTAGAAGTCTAATATATTTCTATCCGTGTCTTGTGGGAAGTCTATATAATTTCTATCACGTGTCTGTAAGAAGTCTAATCAATTATCTATCGTGTCTGTAGAGTCTTATAAACAAATTTCTATCGTGTCATGTAGAGTTCTATAACATTCTATCGTGTCCTGTAGAAGTCTATAAATTTTTCTAAGAGTGTCCGTGGAAGTCTAATACAATTTCTCATCGTGTCCTTTAGAAGTCTATACAATTTCTAATCGGGGTCTGTAGAAAGTCCTATATACCATTTCCTACTCGTGGTCTGGTGGGGAATCATATACAAATTTCTATCAGGTGTTGTAGAAATTCTATACAGATTTCTAATCGTGTCTGTAGAAGTCTATATAATATTCCTATCGCGCTGTGGAAGTCAGTACAATTTTCTGATCTGTGTCTGTAGAGTCTATACAATTTCTATCGTGTCTGTAGAAGTCTATACAATTTCTATCGTGTCTGTGGATAGTCTATAACAATTTCTATCGTGTCTGTAGAAAGTCTATACAATTTCTATCGTGTCTGTAGAAGTCTATACAATTTTATTTGTCTGACAGAAGTCTATGTAATTTCTATCGTGTCTGTAGAAGTCTATACAATTTCTATCGTGTCTGTAGAAGTCTTCTATACATTTCTATCGTGTCTGTTAAGTCTATACCAATTCATCATCGTCTGTAGAAGTCTATATAATTTCTATTGGTGTCTGTAGAGTCTATATAATTTCTATCGTGTCTGTAGAAGTCTATACAATTTCTATCGTGTCTGTAGAAGTCTATATAATTCTATCGTGTCTGTAGAAGTCTGATAACAATTCTAATCCGTGTCCGGTAGAAAGTCTATTACAGCATTTCTATCGTGTCTGGTAGAGAGTCTTATACAATGTTCTATCGTGTCTGTCGAAAGTCTTAGCAATTTCTATCGTGTCTGTAAGAAGTCCTATAACAATTTTCTAATCGTGTCTGTAGAGCTACATAATTCCTATGCGTGTCTGTAGAAGTCTATATCAATTTCTATCGTGTCCTGTAGAAGTCTATACAAATTCTATCGTGTCTGTAGAAGTCCCTATATCAATTTCTATCCGTGTGGTAGAAGTCTAATACAATTTCTATCGTGTCTGTAAGAAGTCTATACGAATTCTATCGGTGTCTGTAGAATCTAAACATTTCTATCGTGTCTGTAGAAGTCTATAACAATTTCTATTCGGTGTCTGTAGAAGTCTATATAATTTCTATCGTGTCTGTAGAAGTCTATACAATTTCTATCGTGTCTGTAATAACGAAATGTTATGTGATGACGTAACTGGAGATATTGATATGATATTGACAGGTGCTGGATGGTATATGATATATTAATGATAAAATAATCGTAGGTGGGAGGATTTACAATACCTTGATGTATACGTATGATCAAAGGTTTAAGAAAATACGATTCTATGAAGAACATTTTATAGATTAGATGAAGGCGGGCATAATACATTTTTTTCCTTTATGATATGACAGGGAAACTATATATATCATGTGAAAAGCAATCATGTCTATTGTAAATTGGTGTTTTTATGCCTCCTCTCCTTTTTGTGGAATTTTTATTTTCTGTTTTCCATCTCTCGGGAAACAAAATGGTAATAATGATAAAGAATAACAAAGTTTGATTTGATGTAACAGATTTTGAGAAAAATATGAAACCAGACGATTCTAAAGTTCAAAACAAGGATGATAACATTCCAGAAACATCAGCTGTGTCCATTTATTGAAACGCCAAAGAGAGAGTAAATTGAATTGAATTTTGAGTACCTGTTTCTTACAAGAACACAGGTTATAGTGAAAGCAACGTGCTCGTTTTCAAAGCTAGTACACACACACACATGCAACACACCACACACACACACACACACACACATACACACACAAACACACACACACACACACACACACACACACACACACACACACACACACACACACACACACACCATATATAATATATATATATATATATATATATATATATATATATATATATATATATATATATATATATACCACATATATATATATATATATATATATATATGTATATATACATATCTTTTTCATATCAGGCAAAAGGGAATATCAGCTGCACGAGTAGGTCGAGCAATTGTTGATTTTATGGTTTAAGTTCAAAGGATTGAAAAATTGATTGAAGATTGAAAGAAATTTGAAAAATTGATTGGAAAGAAAAAGGAAGGGCGAGCAACAGGTAGATAGATAGATAGCTAGGATAGATAGATAGATAGATAGATAGATAGATAGAGAGAGAGAGAGAGAGAGAGAGAGAGAGAGAGAGAGAGAGAGAGAGAGAGAGAGAGAGAGAGAGAGAGAGAGAGAGAGAGAGAGAGAGAGAGAGAGAGAGAGAGAGAGAGAGAGAGAGAGAGAGAGAGAGAGAGAGAGAGAGAGAGAGAGAGAGAGAGAGAGAGAGAGAGAGAGAGAGAGAGAGAGAGAGAGAGAGAGAGAGAGAGAGAGAGAGAGTGAGAGGAAGTCAATAGATATAGTGGCGAAAAAGAGAAATGGAGAAAGGAAGAGAAAGAGATCGAGATGGAGAGAAGAGAGAAGAGGGAGGGAGAAAGGAGGAAGAGAGATAGGTCAATAGACAGGAGAAAGAAAGAGAGAGAGACAGAGGGAGAGACAGACAGGGAAAACACAGGAAAATAGAAAGCGACAAGAAGAGAAAGAGAAAGAAAGATACACAGGAAGAAATAGAATATGAGGTAGAATGAGAGGGGGGTAGGAGTAAAGATAGATAGATAGACAAATAGATAGATAGATAGAAAGAGAGAGAAAGAGAGAAAGGCAGCGAGATGGCAAAACAAAGAGACGAAAAAAAAGACAATACCAAAAAAGATAAAGAAATAGTGGCAAAGAATTAAAAAAAAAACTATAAACCCTCAGAGAGCGCATACCTCCGCCACGGCAATGGGGTCACTGATGCAATAAGAATATTCACTTGACTTGAAGAATGGCACCACCACCATGATTTGATGGCACCTGAGTTGGTTAGCTTAGACACTCCCCTGTAAAAAATAAAAAATAAATAGAAGGAAATAAATAAAAAGCAAAATAAAATAAATAATAGATAATTAGAATTCTGGAAAAAACAACATAAATTAATAGATAAATAGATAAATTAAATTCTGAAAAAAATCATAAATTAATAGATAAATAGATAAATTAAATTCTTAAAAAAAATCATAAATTAATAGATAAATAGATAAATTAAATTCTGAAAAAAATCATAAATTAATAGATAATAGATATTAAATTCTGAAAAAATCATAACTATTGGATTTATCTGCTAACCAACAAACAAACAAACACACAAAACGCTACCCCAAAACATAACCCACCTTGGCGATGATAGAGACAAAACAAAACCCAAAACCACACACCCCACACCCACCTACACACACCCTTCTCACCACACACCACACGCACACACACACACACACACACACACATATCCACACACCCACACCACTCACATCTACATACCACACCCCAACATTCACACTCCCACACCACACCCACACACACCCACACATCCACACACCCACCTACAGACACTCTCACCCACACACCCACACTCACACGCACATCACACCCACATCCACACACCCACCAACACACACACACCCACATACACTCACACCCACATCCACATCCACCCACCACACTTACTCACACATACACACACGCACACTCACTACATCCACACATCGGACACACCCCAGAGCCCTCTCCCCTACTTCCCTCACGCCCTCTGACCTCGCCATTTCTCCACAGGGCGCGTGCGGAGGAGGAGGACCCCAGAGACCGTGGGAGGAGGAAGAGGTCTGGGGCAGCTTCCGGAGGTGGCATATCCTGGTCCTCACAGGCCTAACGGGTCTGGCTGTCAGTAAGGAATCAGCTGTTTTTTTTTGGGGGGGGGGGAGGATCAGCTGTTTTTTTTTTTTGGGGGGGGGAGAAGGATCAGCTGATTTTTTGGGGCTAGGAATCAGCTGTTTTTTTTTTTTTTTTTTTTTTTTTGGGGGGGGATCAGTTGTTTTTTTTGGGGAGGAAGGATCAGCTTTTTTTTTTGGGGGGGGGGGGGAAGGCTCAGCTGTTTTTTTGGGGGAAGGATCAGCTGTTTTTTGGGGATCAGCTGTACGTGTGTATGGGTTTGTGTGCATCATTGAACTGTCTATCTTTCTATTTATCGATCGTTCTATCTGTTTATTTAGTCTATTTATCTGTCTATCTATCTATCTATTCATCTATCTGTCTGCCTTTCCATCGATCTATCTATCTATTCATCTATCTATCTGCCTTTCCATCTATATATCTATCTACTCATCTATCTGTCTGCCTGTCTATTTGCCTCTGTCTATCTATCTATATGTCTGTCTGTCTGTCTGTCTGTCTATCTATTAATCTATCTGTCTTCCTGTCTATTTGTCTACCTACCTATCTATCTATTTATCTATCTGTCTGCCTTTCCATCTATCTGTCTGTCGATTTATCTGTTTCTGCTTATGAATCAACCCATCTATCTCTCTGTCTCTGTCTATCTACCTTTTTGTCTATTCGCTTACCTATCTATCTACCTATATGTTTCCATTTGCCTCTCTATCTATCTATATATATATGTGTGTATATATATATATAATATATATATAT